TGCCAACAAGTGCTACTTTGGGCTGAGTAGGCAATTGAGAAGTAAAGTCCTCTCTCGTCGTACAAAGATCACACTCTATAAGTCACTCATCATGCCTGTGCTGGTGTATGGCGCGGAAGCATGGACAATGAAAGCATCTGATGAGGCGGCTCTTGGAGTTTTCGAGAGAAAGATTCTGCGAAAGATTTACGGACCTTTACGCGTTGGTGATGGCGAATATCGCAGACGATTTAACGATGAGCTGTATGAGCTTTACAACGATATAGACATAGTGCAGCGAATTAAAATTCAGCGGCTCCGCTGGCTTGGCCATGTCGTTCGGATGGACAGAAACGCTCCTGCTCTGAAAATATTCAACGCGGGCCGCGATGCTGGTAACAGAGGAAGAGGAAGGCCTCCTCTGCGTTGGAAAGACCAGGTGGAGAAGGACTTGGCTTCACTTGGCATTTTCAATTGGCGTCAGTTAGCACAGAAGAGAAATGACTGGCGTGCTGTTTTGGACTCGGCCAAAATCGCTTAGGCGGTTACAGCGCCAAATAAGAAGAAGAAGAAGACAGCAATAAACCAAAGTTACACCTCCAAAACTTTATTGATACGTTGTTTGCGCAACCGGTTTATTTTGTAAGTTTCAAGTGAATTTTTTTTGTAAAGTTCGAATAATTAAGGGAAAATTTTAAATGGAAAACAAAACTATAAGTGAGAACCTATGTCCCAATTTAAAAAGTGTCTTTCTATCATTTGGTTGCAAATAAAACTGACTTATTTGCATAACCTCAAAAATTTTCTGATTTATTTCCATTTATTACTTTATCTTACATAAAGTGACAATTTTTTTTAACTTTCGGCAACGGAAATGGATAAACTAAGATGTAATGAGTCGAGTTTATTATACTTAACCCGCCGTTTTTAGCCGTTTTCAAGGAAAACGGTTTTTTCTGGGCTATCATGCTATCACAAAAGGCGGGTTGTTTGAAGTTTGGGTGATTGGATGTTCGAAAAAAGAAAATCCTTTTTCGGTTGGCAACCATGTTGAAAAAAAATTGGTGCTGCTGATATTTTGGAAAGTTCCATGAATAAAAAATAAAAAACGCATCTCTTTTGCAATTCTTTATCAAAGAAAGATGAAAATTATGGAAAACAATTTAGAAATATTTAGATCTGAAAAGATAGCGTTTCTTGCTGATGAAGTTATTTTCGAAATCAAAAAGCCAACTGTGTCGCCCATCAGCCGGATTCTAACTTTCGGCATCGCTAAAATGCTAAAATAGGAAAGCTAGCATTTTTCCGAATTTTTAGCTATCTCCAAAAATATCTCCTAAATTTTTTGGTGATAAATAATCCATTTTAATGGTGAAAAATAGTGAAAATGGAAGGATGTAATAGCAAAACAATAGCAGCCTCAATTTGGATTACATCTCATCTCCTGTAGCGTAGCTGTGGCTATGTTACAAATACACTTGCGCCGATTCGCAAAGACCATTGATGAAAAGCCTTGGCAAAAAGGCAAATTCTTGAGATAATTTACGGATTGAAATTTCGCAAATTAGTTTCAAAACATTCGTATTCTTTTCAGGAAGTTACCAGCGATTTTTGGTAAATGTGTTACAAAGCAGCATTTGTATTCTGAATATAAATAATATCGGTGGAGAATTTGGGAATACTGAAACCTCAAGTGAAAATGAAGTGTTTTATAAAGACTAACTGCTTTAGGAATCTCTCCTCAAGACATATCTGCGAGACATGTAGCAAATATTTTTCTTGTTTTGATTTAGGAATTTCGATAATGCCATAGGTAACTGCCATTTATGTACATGTGACCATACTTATTTTGTTATGTAGCTCAATATATTATGTAGGGGAAGGGGTTGAGTATGGTAAGAAAATAACTTGTGTAAAAACCAAGCTAAGAAGAAAGATGTCAAGTATCAAACGATATAAAAATGCGCAGTTAAATCAAAATTTGTAAGAATAAAATTAAGATCAATTGAAAAAAAAACAATGAATAAAAAAAATTTTTCAAAGAGAAAGCCCACAAATAGTGGATTTGATGTTTGCGCGGATTGAAGAATCTGAAGCCCGTCAAGACGAATTTAATATAAATTGCTTTATCTTAATTGTTTANTCAAAATTTGTAAGAATAAAATTAAGATCAATTGAAAAAAAAACAATGAATAAAAAAAATTTTTCAAAGAGAAAGCCCACAAATAGTGGATTTGATGTTTGCGCGGATTGAAGAATCTGAAGCCCGTCAAGACGAATTTAATATAAATTGCTTTATCTTAATTGTTTATTTTGTTATGTACATACATATGTACATCGCGAAGAAAAAATAAATATGAAATATATATTTCCTATAATAAATTTTATTTCCACATTTGAAGTACAATTGATAAATAACCGTTGAAATTGATTTGAGAGTTAACCATATTCTCAAATGGAGATCAAACTCCCCTTTTTATTGAGAAAGCTGTAATTTTCAAATCAATATCAAATCATTTTCAAACGTTTGACATTTGAGAAAGGCTTTGATTTCAAATCACTCTTAAATGTATTTCGAACCTAATTGTTTGCTGGGACAAAGCTAAGATTATAACCAGGTTGCCCTTTTGGTAAATAGTTACCAAAATTAGTAGAAAAAATTTGGGTTGGTAAAAACGGTAAGTTTTTTCTCATTTTGGTAGATTTTTGTTGAACTTTTCGTTCCCGCTTTATTTTTCGTAGTTATCTTTACATTATAAATTTCTTTGCACACTTTTTATATACTTACATACGTATAAATGTATATCGATATAAGGCGAACATATCGTGCTCCATTCAAAACTCATTTTACTTACTGGAATCCCGAGGAGCTTTTGGTTGCCTAAATATTTTAAATGATTATTTAAATAAAAAGAAAAATTTACTTTAAATTAAATGAACGTCATTTTCGTCATCAATGGAAATTGTTAAGTAAAAAAAAACACACAAGACTGGCGGCAAAAAAATTATACTCAAATATTATTTGCAAAACCCCATACCTTAAATTGTTCTAAAAATTCAGAGTAAAAAATTCGAAACTTAGCCGAAAATTTATTGAATTTTTCTAAATGTTGTATATAGCTTGACTTCTTGATTTTTATGGATTTAGTTAAAGCAACAAAACATTTTTACTTGAAAAACATTGTGATTATTAAAAAAAATCACCAAGTGCTTTTTTGAATCACTGTGTTTGTCCTTGTTGCCTTCAGTTTCATCACTTTCGCTCTTGGTTGAAGGAAATTGAGAATATGCCATTAATACAAATACAAATACCGTATAATTAGTTGAATAAAAAGTTTCTTAAAAACAATTTTAATTCTTATTGAAATAACTAAAAAATAAAGAAATTATAGTTTTAATTTAAATAACTAAAAAATATAACAAAACTATTTTTTTTATTAAAATAACTATAAAAAAGTTATTGGTAGATATTTTCAAGATTTGGTAGATTTTTTTCGAGTGGATGGTAAGTATTTCTTTTCGTCAGTGGCAACCCTGATTCTAACAATAATTTACTATTGTTAACTGAAAAATAAAAGCAATATTTAAAATGAAAAACTACACTTAATTTTCTAATATATTCTTCCAAAGAATCTTCCATCGTCGAAAAGCCCTCAAGCTGCAATTCTCGGTCCCGCAAAAATTATAGATTTTTAAAGTACCACAACGTGAGCACATATATTTATGTACATCTTCAGAGCCTGCTCCAGATTTCTCACTTTTCCGAATATTTTGCAACTCCCGCCTATAGCAGGCTCGTATGCTCTGATTTTTTTACAGTTTCTATCGTGGCGTGGCAGTTTTGTCTACTTCCCTCTATTTTTCACTTTTACTTTGCCAAATCGCGAATTGGCCCTTCAAAAATTAAAAAATCTTTTAAAAATCGCTTACTTGCAATATCCCGCGATGTGCTCACTTCATTGGTTCAAATACCCTGATATGACGAAATGGGTTAAAAGTAAACTGATATGACGGCATGGGTTAATGTTCGCGAACTGCGCCACTAACGGTCGAACAAATCAGAAAAGTTTGAAAATTTTCAAATCCGTCTGATTTGTTTGCGCACCACGCAAATAAGACGGATTTGTTCGCTGCTAGTGCCTAGCATAAGTCCGCTGCAAATAAGTGTGACCCGCTAGTTTTGCCCGAAGATGTCTACCACCCTGCTATTGAGCTATCTTACGAAATTATAAACGATGGTCGAAATTGCGGTATCCAAACATACGAACCAAATATTCGCTTTGATTTTTCGAAAGCCAACTTTAAAAAACGATTATGTCTAAATTGTCGTGGCCTGTATACAAAGAAAACGTTGAGCAAAGCGTTGCACATTTTAATTTTACTGTACGTAAACTATTTGAAGAGTATGTGCACAGTTATGGTTCAATAAAGAACTGAGAAATTTGAACGCCAGAAAGCCACGTTATTGTAGATTACACAAAAAATCCGGTTTACACTCATACTATGTAAAATACTCACTTTTGCATCATAAGTTTTTTGATTTAAACAAAAAGTGTTATAAAGCTTACTTACCCTGTAATTTGCCATTCATAGTGAGGCGAACAATACTTAACTAGGCAAAGCTGAATATGATTAGGGTGGCCATGTGCTGATTTTTTTTTATTGTACTGATTTTTAGGAACCCGAAATCAGTACGCAAAATATACTGATTTTTTGAGTTTGTACTGATTTTTACATTTTGCAAATTGGTATAAATGACATTTACTTGAGGTTAACACGTTCAAAATAATGGTTTTTGACAACTCGTAGCAGTGAGCAGATTGAAAGCAATGAACGTGTAAATGCGGCGCTAATTAAATTGAAACCATTATTCAAAATATGTCAGATTCAATTTGTATTGTTTCCTAGCATTTCGCAAAATAAAAACTGTTCGAATTCAACCCAACATAATATCCCTGTTCCAGGTACCTACTTCACGATTTGCAGATTTAACAGGATTTACACCTTATGGAAGGTGACTGCTTTCGTGCTTCTTGCAATGTAAGTTCTAAAAATTTGAAAAAGGTCCAAACTGCCGACTCTTGGATATAATATATGTAGCTTTACTTTGATTTTTGATGTTCGACCACCTGTAATTTTGCTTGCACAACATATTTAACACTATATAATTTCATTCGTACTCGAAAATTTGTTTAGCGAAAATTCGGTATTTTACCTTTCAGTCAACATTTTAATGTGAATGTTGTATTTAACAAGCACACTAACTAAATATGTTTTAAATATTTTGCTTAAAATATGCGAACAAATTCTGACTCCAGCTCATTTTCTCCAGGAACTGATTGTGCTACAAAACTGAGTACTGCAAAATTTTGTAAAAATTCGGATCAAAAAGTTGATATTTTGATAAAAATTTGTTAAAGTTTTTTAAATTTTTATAAATTTTCTAGAAAATTTGAGGCTTCAATTTATATGGGTTTTGTTATAAAATTAACTATATTTTTATAAAAAATTTAAATCTAAAAATATAAAATAATAATAATAATAATAATAATAATAATAATAATAATAATAATAATATAATAAAAAAATATAAAAACTTACAGTAAGGAAAGAAAAATATTCAAAACTTGTCAGCTTTACTACTATTTTTGTGAACACAACTGTACATGCATACGTAATACTTTTGATTTGTTTTAAACTAATGAATTCTTATATTGATAATACTATATGTATTTAAACGTCTATTAGTTATTTTTTGTTAAATTAATGCGCTGTTATTTGGTTGTTATATTGTTAATAAACGAAAAAGGCGCTTAAAAATTAACCGATTTTATGGCTTTGTACTGATTTTTGATCCCAACTGTACTGATTATGTCACTAAAATATCTGGCTATCCTCAAAGTTTAAGCATGGTCGTAGCCAGGTATGTGCAGGAAGAGTCTGGATTTTTTTGTGGAATTTAGCAATTTATTTTTAAAATGCATTGTTGCTTTAAAAATAATAGCTAACATATCTTTGTTTGTTTATACCTAATTAATGAAAACGATCACAAATATGTGACTAGACATATACATATTTACCTTTTGCTAATTTGTAACAATAAATTGCGCAAAAAATAAAAAAAAAATACTCTTTTTTTGTTTGTACTGCTTTTTTTTCTATCGAAAATGGAAATGTACTCCTTTCTCCGTTTCAGAATCTGGCAACCCTAGGGGTAAGAAACTTTTCTTATTTATCTATCTATATCTTCTCTATCTTCTATCTATACATAGTATAAAGGAAAGTCGAGATTCTTTGTACGCGAAAATCTCGAAAACTACTCAACGGATTTTGTCGCGGTTTTCTCTAATATACTCTGTATCGATAGGAGAGTGACGTTTTTATTTAGAATTTTAATAGGGTTGCCACCTGTCTAAAAAACTATAAGATCCACACCGTTCGTTGGATTACAAAAGATGAGGCGTCAAATGAAAGGGATTGGCCTCCAGAAAAGCACTAATGTTTTATTTTTTTGAATAGGGTTGCCATCCATTAATAAAATTACTCTATTCAATCATAAAAAGTCACTGTGAAATGAAAAGACTTAGCCTCTATATGTACAATAATGTATTATTTTTCTGCATAGGGTTGCCATCTATTAAAAAACTCCGCTCCACTTGGCCATGTCGTTCGAGACACCGACGCTCCAGCTGTGAAAGTATTCAACTCGGAACCCGCTCTTGGTAGCAGAGGAAGAGGGAGGCCCCACTGCGATGGAAAAACCAAGTTGAGAAGGACTTGGCTTCACTTGGCATTTCCAATTGGCATCAGGTCGCACAGAAAAGAAACGACTGGCGTGCTTTGTTGAACTCGGCCAAAATCGCTTATGCGGTTACAGCGCCAATTAAGAAGAAGAAGAATCTCTTACGTGCGACCGCTACCGGGACCTTGGTTCAAGCCCGGTTCAACCCAACATCAAAAAATAAAAAACAAAAAACAGCTTCTCGTAAAAATACAATCGCCGTTCGGAATCGGCGTAAAACTGTAAGTCCCTCCCCTTTGTGTGACAACATCAAGGCGAATGCCACAAATCAGAGAAGCTCGGCCAAACACTGACATATGTATAAGTAAGCGCCAATCTATTATTATTATTAATGTCGAGAATTACAACACAGATTTGGACGATATTTTGCTTAATATAATCTGTATCGATAAAAGTATTATCTTTAGTACAAAGAATTTCTATAGAGTTGCCACCTCTCTACAACATTATAAGATCTCTTCGTTGAATCACAAAAAGTGAGATACGAAATGAAAAGGCTTGGTCTCTAGATGTTCAATAATTTATAACTTTTTCAATAGGGTTGCCAGCTTGCTAAAAATAATAATATTTTCACCATTCATTGGATTAAAAAATGAGGTACCAAGTGAAAGGATATGTTTTCCGAATGTGCAATAAGCTTTTTTTAGTGGGGTTGGCACCTATTTAAAAATTACATATAACACGTGAAAGATATTTTTTGCTAATGACATCTGCACAGTTATTAAAATTAAAAAATAGGGTCTTCGGATGTGCAATGAGGTTTTATTTTTTGGAAAAGGGTTGTCGGCTATACGAAATATTATAAGATGTGGACTGTTCGTTGGACTAAAAAGTGAGTAGTCAAATGAAAGGACTGGACCTCCAGATGTGCAGTAAGGTTTTATTTTTTTTTTAATAAAAGTTAAAGAAAAATGTATATAGGGGGATTTTATTAGAGCAACGGAAGCGAAATCAACCATTTTTTGGAATTTTTGCCTGTATGTTTGTATGCGCAACACTCAAAAACTAATGCAGTTTTCCCCGATGCATTACTAGAGGTCTAACTTAAAATATAGAAAAAAAAAATTAGAGTGGCCACCTGTTTGAAAATTTCAGTTTAAGTAAATTGACAAGATAAAGTAAATATTGCAGTATAGTTGGTAAAACGATGAGGTTTAAGAAGGCTTACAGACGAAAATATTTTTTTGGATGGTTACCACCGTTTGAAAATTTTACTTTAATTAATAAGAATATTAAATATTGAAATATCAGTATCCAGGGTTGGGCACGCTGCACTAAACTTTCAATGCACTGAGCATTTCATTACCACTATTCGGGTAGTGGAATGCATTACCACTAAGTGCATAGTGGTAGTGAAAACAATTTTTCACTATCACTAACCATATAGTGGTAGTGAAATTTGAAATGCACTACCACTGAAGCCCTAGTAGTAGTAGTGAAATTTTGAAATGCCTGTCAAAAATATATGAAAATTTAATTCAGTTAAATTGATAAGATTAGTTAAATATTACACTATGGGTATCAAACCCATACGAAATTTTTTTCGAAAATTTTGATTTAGAAATATCTTCACCTAGTAAATAGCCCGCGTGCTTCACAGCGCTTTCAAAGTGATTTAGTTTTATTACTCCCTCTCACAACACCTAAAACTATAAGTTAATACTGTAGAAATTTCTGCTTTTTATGGTTTTTATGGAAGATTTGTAAGTATGCGGTATTTGAATATTTTTTGCGACAAATTTTGAATTAAAACACCTTTGAAGATTCGCGCGGTATGTAGACTCGCGTTATATGATTATAAATTAAATTTCCAGGACAAAGTCTATACTTTACCTACTTTCTAAATACTTTCGAAAATATATTAACTAAGCCCACATTCATAAAAAATAAAGAATACTTCCTAAATCGAAAATTTGTTTGAAAATCTCACTTCATAAAGCTCTTTAAATCTATTTTATTTTTAACTAGCCGGCCTCGTATGCGCGAGGCTCCGCCACGCGCTGAATGTGTGGATGTTAAATAAGATGACAACTAAACAGGTTGCAACCCTACTAAAAAAATAATATATAATTGCGCATCTGGAGGCCAAGCCCTTTCATTTGACACCTCCTTTCTTGTAACCTAACGGAGACCCCAATTTTTTTAATTTTTCGCACAGGTTGCAATCCTCTTCGAAATATAAAACTTTACTGCAAATCGGAAGGTCACGCCTTTTCGTTTGACACATAATTTTTTTTAATTTAATCAAATGTGCAAATCTAATGTAATTAACAAAAAATGCCTTCGCGTATTATTATACATATACAATTTTTAAATGGGTGGCAACCCCACTCAAACAAAAGATGAAAACTTATTGCAAACAGCGTTGCCGTTTTGGTCCAATTGGACCAAAATTGGTAGCTTCATTCTCCGTTGGTAGCTTGGTTGGTTTGATGAAGCTTTTGGTAGGCAAAATTGTTTTGAAAATACAATCAAACTGAACATTAAAATTTGTTTGCTTAATTTAAGTTTACCCGTTCAAAACACTGCTTTCACTTTGCTTACACGTATAAGATTTCTTTATTTTTTCTTTATTTTATTAAACAGACAATTTTCTGCAAACAAAAACTCACTTTCCAAAGCTATAACCGATTAGCTGTTGAAATTAACGAGAAATTACCTCTTGTCTTGAAAGAAAAATTGGTGATAGGCAATTTGCAAGGTGTGAGTGTATTGGTAATAAAAAAGGGTGAGTATATGCAAATTGAATCAAATTTGGATTTTTTTTTATTGAAATGCATAAAATGTCTGCTTTTGTTTATTCACACACAAAAAAAAAATTTTTTGATATGAATTGAATCAATCTCAAAGATATTTACTTATTTTACAAAAGT